CAACTTCTAACACCATCAACAGTAGTGGAGGAAACAACAAAGAATTTCCTCCTTGCAGACACTGTGGCAAAAAAGGTCATCCACCTTTCAAGTGTTGGAGAAGACCTGATGTTAAGTGTGATAAGTGCAACAAGTTGGGGCATCATGAGAGAATCTGCAAAAGCAAGTTTCAGTAGAGGAATGAGGCTCAAGTTGCAGACTAGCAGGGGGAGGAAGAACAGTTATTTGTAGCAACCTATTTTGCAAGCAACAGCTCAAGTGAATGTTGGCTAATGGATAGTGGTTGTACCAATCACATAACCTATGATCAAGAGATTTTCAGAGAACTAGACAGATCAAAGGTATCAAAAGTCAGAATTGGCAATGGTGAGCACATTACAGTAAAAGGAAAGGGAACTGTAGCAATTGAAAGTTGCACAGGTACTAAACTAATTACTGATGTTTTGTTTGTACCTGATATTGACCAAAATTTGCTAAGTGTGGGACAGTTACTTGAGAAGGAATTTAAAGTCATCTTTGAAGATAAGCAATGTCTAATCAAGGATGCCAATGATAAGGAAGTCTTCAGAATCAAAATGAGAGGCAAAAACTTCTCACTAGATCCAATGAAGGAGGAACATGCAGCTTATCCTATTGCTATGAGCAGCACAGAGACTTGGCACAAAAGACTAGGTCATTTTCATCATGCAACAGTCTTGTCTGTGCAAAGGAAGCAGCTGGTTCAGGGGTTGCCTCACTTGGAAGCTGATGTGCCAAATTGCAAGGCTTGTCAGTTTGGCAAGCAAGCAAGAATACCCTTCTCACAGTCAACTTGGAGAACAACTGAGAAGCTGCAACTCATCCACACTGATCTGGCTGGACCTCAGAGAACTCCTTCACTTAAAGGGAGTAAATATTACATAGTTTTCATTGATGACTTCATCAGAATGTGTTGGATTTATTTTCTCAGATTTAAGTCAGAAGTTGCATGAGTTTTTTTTTTAAAATTCAAGCAGTAGATTGAGAACCAAAGTGGCTGCAAGATTCAAGTTCTAAGGTCTGACAATGGCAAGGAATATACTTCAGAACAATTTAACTTGTTTTTTGATGAAGCAGGCATTGAGCATCAGCTCACTGCTCCATACACTTCACAACAGAATGGAGTGAGTGAAAGGAATAACAGCAAAATGTGGAAATGGTCCGGTACATGCTCTATGAAAAAGGATTACCTAAAGAGTATTGGGCAGAAGCTGCAAACATTGCAATATTTCTGCTAAACATGTTTCCCACCAAAGCAGTGAATGGGAAGACTCCTTTTGAGGCCTGGTATGGTTACAAGCCCTTATTTGCAAAATTTTAAAGTGTTTGGATGCTTATGTTTTACTCATGTGCCACATATTAAAAGAGACAAGCTTGATAAGAAAGCTGAACCTGGCATCTTTGTGGGATATAGCTCAATATCTAAGGTTTACAGAGTTTTCCAACTTCACACAAGGAAAATTCTGATAAGTAAGGATGTGCACTTCATGGAGAATGAGCAATGGAGTTGGAATACTATAGAAAAGAAGCTAATTGCTGATCCTATACAAAATCAGGATGAGTTAGTTGATGACCCTCCTATAAGAGGCACTAGATTGCTCTCTGATGTTTATCAGAGATGCAACGTTGCAATTCTTGAACCTACAGGGTTTGGGAAGCTGAAAAGGATCCCAAATGGAGGGCTGCAATACAGGAGGAGTTCTCTATGATTGAAAAAAATCAGACTTGGGAACTTGTTGAAAGGCCTGAACACAAAAAGGTGATTGGAGTCAAGTGGGTGTTTAGAACAAAGCTAAACGCAGATGGCTCAATTAACAAACACAAAGCGAGGTTAGTGGTAAAAGGGTATGCTCAAGTTTTTGGTGTGGATTTTTTTGATACATTTGCCCCTGTTGCAAGGCTAGATATAATCAAGCTGTTGTTAGCAATTGCAACACAAAAAAGATGGAAAATCTATCAACTTGATGTGAAATCAGCATTTCTAAATGGATTTCTAGAGGAAGAAATCTATGTTGAGCAACTTGAAGGTTTTGCTGTGAAAGGGCATGAGAACAAGGTTTATCTATTGAAGAAGGCTTTGTATGGTTTAAAACAGGCCCCAAGGGCTTGGTATATTAGAATTGATGAGCATTTGTTGGACTTAGGCTTTGTTAAAAGCCTTAGTGAATCAACTTTATATGTCAAAGGTGATCAAGCTAACTTAATTGTGATCTCCTTGTATGTTGATGATCTTCTAGTTACAGGTAACAATGTTGAACTTATCCAGCAGTTCAAAGAAGACATGATGCAAGTCTTTGAGATGACTGACCTGGGAGAAATGTCTTACTTCCTTGGAATGGAGATTAAACAGGAAGAGGATAAAATTTTCATCTGTCAACGGAAGTATGCAAAGGAGATCCTAAAGAAATTTAACATGGAGAACTGTAAAAGCATGAGTACTCCAATGTGTCAAAAGGAGAAGTTGTGCAAGGATGATGGAGCTGAACAAGCAGATGAAACTTTTTACAGAAGTTTAATCGGCTGCTTAATGTATCTCACTGCAACAAGACCAGATATCTTGCATGTTGTAAGTGTACTATCAAGGTTCATGAATTGTGCAAGTGAAAGTCATTTTAAAGCAACAAAAAGAGTTCTAAGGTATGTCAAGGGTACCTTAAGTTATGGTATCAAATTCAGTACATGTCAGAGTTTCAAGCTGCAGGGTTACTCTGATAGTGATTGGGCGGGGTCTTTAGATGACATGAAAAGTACATCAGGCTATTGTTTGCTTTGGATCAGGTGTGTTCTCTTGGTGTTCAAAAAAATAAGAAATTGTTGCACAATCAACAGCTGAAGCAGAGTTCATAGCAGCCACAGCTGCTGTTAATTAGGCCTTATGGCTAAGAAAAATTCTAATTGATTTACACTTGGAGCAAGGGATGAGTACAGAGGTGATGATGGACAACCAAACAGCCATAGCTATCTCCAACAATCCAGTTTTTCATGGAAAAACAAAACATTTCAGTATAAAGTTGTTCTTTCTCAGAGATGTTCAAAAAGATGGTGTAGTGTGTTTGAAGCATTACAAGACTGAAAACCAGCTGACAAATATCTTCACTAAAGCTCTTCCTAGAAGCAAGTTTGAGTTTTTAAGATAGAAACTTGGAATCTCCACCCACTGATGCAAGGAGGAGTGTTGAATGTGTGCATCAATAGATGCTGATATAGCTGCTGACATGGCTAGCAGAGATGGTTGCACATGTGAAACTGAGGCTGCAAGCTCAGGTTTGCATGCCAGTTGTCTTTAAGATCAGGTCTTAAGGGCTGCAACTGATATTCAGTGCATTATATACTCTTTGACCAAGTTTTTAGAAGATTTGTTTTAATTTTCTGTTATTTACTAGCTGTTAAGGTTAGTAGCTAAAGTTTAGGAAGTTTGTTGCTTTTATTTCTGGTTTTTAGTTGCAAACTCATGTATTTAAGCAGATCATTCTTTAGTAAAAAATATCACTTTCTCTCATTCTCTTTTGTTCTTTAAAAGCTCTCTTTCTCTTGTTCTTAGTTAGGTTTAACTAAGTCCCAACAATATCTGATGCTTGGGCATCAATTATGACACAAATGGCAGAAAAATTCAGTAACTATTTTGTGGACATGCAAAATCATTTTGCTAAGCTTGTTGATTGTTTTAGACATGAGCAAGAAGCTGCTGGAAAGAGATCTAGAATTGTCGATGAGCTGTTGAAAATCTCAGGGTTTAGAGAGATTGGCATGCTTAAAGCGGAAAATATAATTATTAATGATTCAATAAAAACGGATCTATTTTTTTTCTCTTCCAGATAGTTTGAAGAAGCCATGTGTGGATATGATCTTTGATGCGTAGGGTTTATGAAACAACATAGGAATTTATTTATAAGTCCTCAGTTTAGTCTTTTTATTGATCTTTTTAAGTTGTAATGGGTCAAATGACAATAATTTTGTGGTTTTTCTATTTTTTTCTTGTATTTTTGTGGGTTTTCTTTGAAATAGAATTTATTTTGGAATATCTGTTTGGTTTTTATTTTTATATAGATGTTAAATAATCATTTACAGTATAGTAAAGAAAATAGAGATAGATGAGGATAATATTGAAAGTTCAATGCATTCTTGAATGTCATCCCATATTATTTTAACTGAAATAAATATAGACTTGGTAATGGATATTCATTCCCATCTAAAATTACTATAATAACCAATCAGTAGGTATAAGATTTTAACGGTATCTGAAACCCAAACATCCTTTTCTTAAGAATGAGATTCCCATTCTCGATGTAGTTTATTGTCATCCAAATGGGACCTAAATCAACTAAAAATCTTAAATCTTAAATAAATTAGGAAGCTAAATAAAATAAAAGTGAAATTAAACCAAAAAATAAATAATAAAATAATTTCCTAGTTAAATTAAGAAATACAATAAAATCTCATAAATTTTCCTAGTTGAATAGCATTGATCACGGTCAAATATAATACTAAAATTAAAATTCTTGTCATTTATTCTACATCACAACCTGAGAAGGCTCGGTTCAATTAATATTCTTATTCTTGGTAATGCTATTTTTTTTTAAAACTATGGACTTCTTTTGTTACATTGTGCCTTCATATATGAGTATTAGTAAGTTTATATAACCAAGTACAAAAAATTTTAAATTTTTCAAAGACATAAAAATTATTTTTGTTTTTCCCGGTACAAATCATTCTAATTTCTCTAAATTAGATAGAAAGCAGATAATAACTGACAGAATTATAGATTTCCGTCCAAAAATTGGAGTTGCCGCCAAAACATTGACTTCCAAAACTGACTCCTGGAATTGAGAAATCTACCAATTAATGCCCTAATTTCTTGCCTTCTCCCGCGCCATCTTTCATGCACCCGCCCTCTCCTAGCACACCTTTCTCACGTGCCCCTCTCTTTCTTTCCTCCCTCCCTCCCAACTCTCTACACCACCAACTCTCCTCCTATTCCTCACCTCTCTCTTCTTTCTCCTCTGTCATTCTCCCACATAACTCTCCGCAGCATCTCTGCATCATCGCAGGACACAGCCTCATCAGCTAACAACACAGTCGCATCACACCAACAACACAACCTCATAATAGCAGAGGCAAGACTTGTTGATTCGGCCATCGACATGCGACGGTCGACGCCAGCCATGTATGTGTCCATCTCTATTCCCCTCGCTGCTCCTAACACTTTAATATCCACATCATCGTCGACATTGTTATTAGTAATGTTCTTTTTTATGTTTACAACGTGGATGAGCTTGGATGAAGGAGCTATTGCTTGTATGGAATGCTTATTTTGTTGGAGATTCGATAGGATTATTTCTATTTCCTTTACTTATCAGATCTTCGTGCATGTGCTCACAATTTACTTTGGATTCCTGAAAACGTTGGCATTACTCCATATGCTGCTGGCATTTTCCTTCTTATTTATGTTAACTTTTACATATGGGATTGTGAGACTTCTAAGGAATTAACAGAGAAAAAAAAAAGGTGACATAAAATTAAGAGAGATTTTAGCATAAATTCTTGATATCCCTATATATCTAATTGCATGACAACAAAAAAGGAAAAGTCAAAATCAGGGACTAAAGTATAATTTTTAGTATAATGGAGAGGTTTTTGAAAATGGATTAATAATGCATAAAACTCGCTCAGTGATGTAAACCTAATACTAAACCAACCAACATACATCATTAGACTATATGAGTAGAGAAAATCAAAGAGTGTGGCGGCTTGTTCTTAAGAATTGAATAGAGAGAGAGATACGCATGGCAGACTGGAGGAAGGGTAGGAATATGACATTAAATCATGTGATAGGAATAAAATTTGATAGGGCGGTTCTTCAGTGTTCGAATTGATAGAAGGATTGTAAATTGTTTATCTCACAATATACATTCTACGTAAATTTTTTTGCAAAGAGTTTATTTTATTGTTATGGTCGTTGTATTCTAATCGATTGTTTAATCGTTGTGATTTTTGATATTCCTTTGTATTTTTGTTTGATGTATCTTGTTATTTGTTATGTTAAAGATATTTTTATTGGTGAAGTGATTTGGAACTTATCAGCATATGCAGGCATATTTGGTGGCATAATTATGATATTGAGATATGATTGAAACCCATAGGGGCGTGTGTTGGATGCATCGAGTGATGCCTATAATTTTGCCGAAACGGAGAGGGTATGAACCCATGGGTGAATTTAAAGATTGGAGTATTGAGTTTTATGCGATGGGTTACATAAATTTGTGTTTATTAACTAAATATCTTTTTGGTTCATTTTTCCGCGATTGATCATTTGTTATTAGACTATTGTTTGATCTTACCCGTGTTTTAAATTACTCACTGGGCCTCCCAATCTCTCCCATTTACCTCTCTCAGATATAGGTTAACTTCGGGTTAAAAATCAATGAAGGATTAGATTGATTGAAAAATTAGAGAGTTTCAGTTATTCACTAGTTTGTGATTGTTTGTGTAAGTGGTGACTTGAACGGTTGTAATCGATTTAGACATTGAAATATTTTATTTGTTAGATATCGAAGTTTTAGCGCTTTGTATTGATTGAAATTGATGATAATTTAATTCACGCACTAAATTTGAGGGGATCAGGTTCAGGCCGTGACAATTTAATTCCCAAAAAGACATTCTTGGGGCATTAAATGCCACTGGGTAATCTAGGATTCATTAACTATGAGCAGCAATAGATTTATAGGTGCATTAGATTTTATAGGTTTTTTTTTTGTCTGTGTTTTCTGGGTAGGAATCTTACACATGGATAGATATTTTAGCTGTGTTTGGGTATTTATTTTTACTAATGTGTTGAAATTTTCAAATTTCAGAATAAAAAGTGAATTAGTGACATATTTTGGAGGGTAATTTTTTTTTTCTTCAGGATTTAATCATGGATCATGTGTTTGGTGGGAAGTTTAAGCTTGGGAGGAAGATCGACAATGAATCCTTTGCGAGCTCTATTTCGGTATGATCAATTTACATTCCAAGTGCTTTAACGTAGTCTTTGAGTTTTGATTTTTATGGTAATGACGTTATAATCTTAAACAAGAGTGAATGTAGAAACTGTGAAAGAGGTTGTTGTGAAGATGACATGTAGACTAAGTTTCATCTGTGGAATTTCAATTTGGTGTTAAATGAATTTTAATTATTTGACCATGAAGAAATATTGCTATCAGCTTCTGAGATCAAGTCTGCGCTGATTATATCATGGAATTCATGTTTTGGAATTGGAGTGGACAACCAATAGCAACCTTCAGTCTTCTTTCTCTTTATTTTCAATCTATTCTTCTGGGCATAGCAAAGCCCCCCCCCCCCCCCCCCCCCCTTCTATTAGAACTATCTCAGTTTCTTTTGGTCTCAAGTGTCTGAATTTCTTGATACCTTGTTCCATTAAACTCATAAACCGGAAAAAATATCATGTCATCGTCGGTACGCTGTGTCATTATTTAATAAAAATATAATAAATAAATAAGTGAATCTCATATACATTAATACCCACTATGTGTCGGATTTATCTTTTCTATTATAAGTTTATTATTCAATAATAATATCACATATTAATAATGACGTGATATTATTGTTACTCCATTATGTATTCAATAATCAGAGGAGAGGATGGAACATGCAGAGGTTGATTCTATCTCTTCTTCACTTTTTTTCTCCATCTTTCTCTCTCCTCATATCTTTCTTATCTCTCTCCCAGTCTCTGAGAGTCCAACGTAGATGCCGCTTTTCTTTCCTCTCCCAGTCTCCCATCTGTTTCAGCTTCTATCTTCTTTCTCATCTAACATAGTTGCAGCCGCCAATAGCAACCCGAACGCCGCAGCCACCGCGATCCAGCCACCCGAGAGCCATCACGATCCACACCACAGTCGACGCTAGCAAGCAGCCGTAATGACGCCAGGGATCTCTCTATGTCTTCGTCTCTCTCAATCGTTGATCATATTCTTTCCCCTCTTTCATTCTTAGTGTCTGCTCCTCCCCTTCTCCCTCTCTCAACTCGCCTCCATCCCACAGTCACCATCTAAATAGTCGCAGCCGCCAATAGCAACCCGTACGTCACAGCCATCGCGATCACGCCACCCAAGAGCCACCACGATCCACAGTGGACGCTAGCGACTGTAACGACGTCAGGGATCTCTCCATACATCCGGCTCTGTCAATCGTTGATCATATTCTTTCCCCTCTTTCATTCTCAGTGCCTGCTCCTCCCCTTACCCCTCTCTCAACGCGCCTCCATCCCACACTCACCATCCCGAGCCCCTCCAACCCCAGCCACCTTCACCCTTTGCCTCCATGCTCAGTCAACCCACAACCAAAGGCCCATTACACGTAAACCCGTCAACTGCTCGTAGTTCTCACTTAAACTAAATGTATGTCTGAGCCTAGAGCGTCGTTTTAGCGAAAGGCAATCCTACTCCTATCTAATTTATTAATTTAATTGATAATAATTTTTGAATTGACTAAGAGTTTCATTAAATATTAAAATTTAATATTAATCTAATAATTTTATTAAAATCACATCATATATTAATAAATAAAATTAAATTTTTAAATCAAATAGGGTTACTCTTTAGTAAAACCCAGAAATCAATATATTGAAGAGGAGATGTGAATTATTGGTGTAGACCATCTCCGACGTAGACGAAATTTTTGTGCCAAAAAAGTAGAGGCGTAATTGAAAAATTATTTTTGGGTACACTAGACAATTTAACAAACTTTAATTTTTTCCATGCTGTCAATATTACATAATATGTTTATATTTACTTCCATCATATTCAATATTTTAAAATTAATAAAACTCAAAAATTCAAAAATCGACAGGCATAATATGTACAAATTAAAAAAAAAAATTAATTACAACCTATTAAAAAAAGGCTATATAAAACTATTTAAATTGGATATTGATAGGTTCAATCGGCAATAGGGCATATTCTACTCTTACAAAATTCATTTTATTGAAGCGTAATGTGAAAAACTTTTTGAAAATCTTGCAAAATAATTAGATTGTTTTCCATATATACATGTGTAAGTAATTATGCTATCACATATCTATTTATTATCCTTTCGGTAAATCAACCGAGGTTTAACAGTAGTCTTTACTATTTTTTGAGTAAAATCACCTTGTGTCCTAGTGTCATAGAATTGTTATTGACTGCTTGGACCTCAAATAGAGATAAACCGAATCTGTCATCGAATGATCGCACAAGTGGTGACTCGTAGCACAATCGTTGATAGGTTCCCATTTCTTAGTTTCTCTCATTCTTGCTCTATATGTGCCTCGCTCATTGGTTTTAATCAGGTGACCACAATCTTATCAAACAAATATACTTATATCAATTTTATTTTAATTTCTATCTCTTAAGATTTTTGTAATATTTAATTATAATTTTGAGTTATGTGGATTACTTACAAAATGACCCTATATTTTATTACAGTGACCTTAAATTCTATACAATAATAAAATAGTCTCGTAATCAAAACTTACCAATATATCTAATTAATGCCTATATGTCTAAAACTTATCAAGAAATGTTGATAACCTGTTCGAAACTTGTCTAAAAGTTTATAATCATTTGAGTTTAGAAATTGATGCATTACAAAAATCTAGGATGGACATAATTAAAGATATTTAATATATAATAGTAAAAATATATATCTATATATAGGTAATTTAAAAAACAAATTGAGGGTGGGCAAAAACAACAATGTTTCTACCTTATTGGTTGTAGGAAATTGAAATTTAACAGCATCGTCATTGTTGTCGTCTATGTCCATGAGATCGCCTCCGACACTCTTTATTTTCACCGACTTTGGTCTGCTTCGGTATTTGGCTGAGTTCATGACCATAAAAGGTTATCATCGTTAATAGGCAAAAGAGGATTCTTATTTTTGGATTCTTATTTCTTATAATTTATATTCACACTATGGTTTGCTGATTGATGTGAATATGAAGGTAGCAAGAGTGTAGCAAGAGTTTATGGTTTAGTGTTTGTAGTGCAGTGATTGGGTGGTGTATGCAGTATGGTTCTGGTCAAAAGAATTCATGGTGTTTTCTTATGCTATTGCGTCTAAGTTAACTATATTAGTAGTTTTGCAGTAGTCTAAGTTAGATATATATATAGAAGTAGCAGACTTCTTTGTAAAAGCCGT